CMMMTTAATTCTGTGATAAGCAATGACAAATATGCACCAACAGACCAACAAGTCCATCTCTGYAGAGAACCACCATCGCTGAACAATTTGATTATTTAGCTAGCAAATAAAATGCACTGCATTCTGCAAATGTCTTAGGTGTTTCAAATCTTTGTACTTAAGAGGGACAACTTAAAAAATAATGTTGGAARTCTGCCATTACAAAAGCTATGGAAGTTCACTTAGGCTTTTCTGGAAGCTAGGAATAAAAGTTGAAAGTCTGGATATAGGATATTACTCATTTTCCACTCCAGAAAGCATTAACAACTAGTTTTCATCCACTCTGTCATTTCCTGATGCATACCACTACTTCCAGAGATATAATTTAGYTTGATGTTTTTGTTTAAATTCTGGCTCTTGTCACTTATCATTCCAAATATCTTCATGAGGCAACAAAGCAAGGAAAYGAAGTAGGAGTTCATCCTTTTCTTCAGAGTTATTTTTCAAAACCATTTATAGGTTCTGTTCAGCCCAATCTACTTACTGGCTACAGTCAAAAAAATATGCAGAATTTTTCTTCAGAGTTCTCAAGGAACCAGCAGTGTCACTTGGCCTAAGAGTAAAAGACTCTCTTTTGCACATTTTTGCAGCAAAGAAGAGCTTACACAGAGTAATAGCAGTTTTGTAATAAGACAAACAAATGGGGCTGTGCRTGGCCAAAAGAAAGCACGAAGACGACCGGTAGGTCAGGGCTTTCTAAACAGCAAAGACAGAAACCGCCTCCTACATTCAAACAATCAATAAATACTTTTCCTACCACTAGCATTCACCCTTACAAAATCCTATTATCCACTAAGGAAAACTGGCAAGTTATTCAGTTATTCTCTCCCAGCAGCAATTGACTCAAGTGCTGGAACAATGCCATCACACTATTTCAGAAGACCAATAGCACACCTAAAAAAACCCCATCTTTCATGGATAGGTGACATCTACTAAACCAAAAGAATGCAAAACTGTATCTAGCAACATAACAGAGRAAATTGAAAATCCCTGTGTGTTTCATTTACAAGTGAAGCCAAACTTTTTTGCAATATCCAAGCTTAACAATCCTTCCTAAAATAAGCGTTGTGCAGAGGTCAGTTCATTTTAAGTTCTTGCCCTGCAATAGCCTCCAACTGATCCAATCCCGCATTCACACACTGTCTTGTCAATGTAACTGGCAGAACTTGAAGAGAACGYTGAGTTCTTCAGGTGTCAATCAGAGTAGGATTTGAAGACAGTGGGCTTACATGTGTTCCTGAAACATACACTGACCTTCAGATCCTTGGGATCTTCTGACAACACTGAGGAAGCAAGGCTTTGGGAAGCTAGGGTAAGTTTTCTTAATTTAAAAAAGCATCTTCTTCCTACTTGTAAACTGAAATAAATCCTGAGGAATTGCTGAGATATGATGAACATGATTGCTGTAATACCATTTTTGGTCAATTTTCAGAGCAGAGTTACATACTCAATATATATCCATGGTTCTGTATACATAACAATTCTGCAGTTGCTTAAATTGCAACATAATTTTTCTTATTTTTGAATTTGCTGTGTCATTTTTTGAACACTTGAATTCCAATGTATAATTAAGTCTCTCATCCTCACAGTTGCAATGAAAGTCTTCGTGATATGAAAGGAATGTAAATCAAAATGGAGACAGCTTGATATCATAACTGCGGGAAGTGTGAACTGTTCTGCTTCTTGTAAAATGCATCAGCTTAGACACCCCAACAGAACATTTCAAATGTCAACAATGTTAACCATTCATTACTGATCCCATTCACCTTAGACGGACCTGGCTTGGAACCTCTGCAAGATGCAACAATGCACAGAAAAATGTGAATGACACAGAATGAGAAGCTGAAGATGTTCCTGATTCAGCCAATTTTTCTCTTCGACCAAAAGACTGAATCTATGCTCACAATACACTGCTAAGATGCAAGTTTTTACTTGCCTAGAATATGTGCCTGTGAATATCACTGATGCTATTGCAGACACCTCTCCACAGGTATAATTATCCCTTGCTTCCTGGAAACTGGAAATTTTAAAAATAAATCTGTTAGGGACAACACAGAAATCACTGGTTACCCCATACTTTAATGCCAGACATTAATATCTGCATTTTCACTGGAAGGCATATCCTTCCAATGTCAGAGAAAGACAGAAAGGTGAAAAGTTTTAACAAAAGAAGTTTTTTAAAAATACCRTATAGTTCATCTCACCTGATATAATCTCTGAAAATGAGGGTTTGGGATTTTGCTGGGCTTAAATAGGTCTTCAAAASTTTCTCCATCTTCATGAACCAAATTCATAGAATCAATCAGTGAGTCAACAGCWGATAACTGATCCGCTAAGGCAGCAATTACATACAAAGAAAAATTAAATACACTTGAAGATGGATGCATTTCTTGAAACAATTTATAAATGAAGATTCGCTTCACAATGTGAGATTCTCACCAAGTCATTACGTGCCACAGAATACACTGCAGCTATAGATGTACCAATAAAGAATATGGATAATGGACACRTAATAAACCCCTGCTTTATTTAAGGACTACAGTGCAAAGTCGTAAAGCCTTTTKCTTTTCCCCAAGACCTCAATTATTGCTGTCTTTCTGCTTTTACTTTTCTTCCTTTTCAAGATGTTTTCATTTGCAACAGAAGGTTTATRGGCCACTTGGAAAATAAGGAGAACAGTTGGTTTGCAAAACTAAATGGCACAATATATAAATTTTTAAAGTTATGATTGCAAATTAACACAGTTCACAATAGCCAACTACTGCTTTGGTAGGACAGGTTTTAGATTTGTTATCAAACTGCTGTTACAGSCAAGAAAATAGAAACTGTTTTAGAAACAAACCAGCATGCTATATATACCCTGACGTGCAGGTGCCCATTCAGTGCATCTCAYAACTAATGAAAGAAGTGGGAGTGGATTTTGAGCTACATCCATTTAAGGCTCATTGCTGTGCAAAACTCTCAGAACAGCAAGTCAAGCTTTATGTGGCTGCATGCTCTCCAAAGATGGCATCCATCTCAATCTGGGCAAGTGCACAGTTTAGTAACACCCCACAGAAAATACTGTCTTTGCCTTTGTACATTATTAACAGGCCATACTGCAAATGGCCACAGGACCAGCTTTGCACCAACAGAGCAGCTGCCTCTGTTCTAATTCTAGCTAGCTAATCGTACACTGGGGATCCCACACAGTTTGGCCATTTACTCCCGCAAATGAGTTCAAAGAGCAAAGGATACAGAGGACTAATCTCAGCTCTTTATCACAGGATCCTATGAGATTAAAAATGCCATAATCTGAGCCAGCAGTCATTTAATAGGACAGTTGAAATACTGCCTGCAAACTTAGGTCTGCTCAGCCTGCAACTGAAGTGGCAAAGCTTTGATACACATTAACACTTCAAGAAGACATCATCATGGATGCCCAAATGTCTAGTTTTTTCCCTAAGCCAGAGTAACAACAAAACTTAAGTTTTCATTGGAGAGTCAAATATTCTAATTCTTTTAGAGCATCTTAGAAGACAACAATCAGGTTACTTTTCCAGTTGACCAGCAAATGTCTTACCTGTAGGAAGGCATTTTTTATTGTTTTTCAAGGATGAAAATACATATTGTCTTAGGTCTTCCATGTAGGGTAGTTGCACATAGATGAGACACTGTGCAAGAGGAAAGAGAAAAACAACTGACCTGAAGGAAAAAAAAATCCGTATCCCAAGAGTGCCATTTCAGGACAATATAAACATAAGAAAAATCTGAAGATCTAATGCCTCTATGCGTCAAAACATTTAAATATTTACAGAGCCACACAATTTTAATCAGAATAAAATACAGCATTGTATTTTATAATATAGTGATGGCTACATGCATTTTTCTGCTGGTAGGATAAAGACCTCCCTGACCATCTGATCCCTTTTCGTGTGCAGAGTTCCAATTATCCATGCTTTAAACATCCCATATATTGGTAAAACTTTGGGAAGTTTWAWCACATATCACTGTATTTCAAAGTCAAAAGTTGGGTTTGGTYTTTTTAACATTTCTCTGCCTCATTTTTTCTTTATTCAAATACCTCCTCCAGTTCATACCACCCTAAATAATTCCTTTCCATGCTTTATGTTTATACCCTTCAGAAGTCTGAAGATTGTTGTGTCCGCCCCCACCTCCGTCACTGCTCAGCCATGCTGTACATATTTAGCTCTTTCAATAGTCTCTCGTAAGAAAGATCAGGGGAAACATATGCTGCAAAAGTTCTGACATACTGTGTTGCTTCTGGGTCTCTCTGCTGAAGGGTAAGAGTGAAAAAATTACCTCATATGCATCCTTAATATATGGAAAAGCTACTCCAATTTGTGGGTTGCATCTTCTATCATAAGCATAGCGCACTATAGCCACCACTTTCAACTCATCCAGTGCACGAACAAGTGCAGAAAAAGCAACTGCTGCATTCTGGAGGGAAAAAAAGAAGTCTACAAAATCATGCAAATTCTTAATCATGAAATATATCTTTCACAGGGAATGCAACAGCATTGATTCAGCCAAGACTAGTTTCCATTTCAGCTGTAACTTTAACACAAGCATTTTTTTCATGTTCATAAATCAAAGACACAGAAAGGTCAAATCTCATCATGATACTGGATCCATACAAAGCTGAGCCAACTTTAGATTCAGCACGTTCCTCCTTTTTCACCACGTGGGAAGAATTCTCAGAAGTTTTGCAAGGGAGAAAGGAAGTCAGACTCTTAAAGGAACTTATCAGAGTACCACAGTGAGCTTTTTACCTCCAGTGCTTTGGAGGTCTGTTCTAAATAACACGGCAACAGGGCACATTGTTGCTGTGCATGAAAATGGACTTAAGCACCAATTTCAGGTTCCTCATGCCCTTGCACAAACATAGTATCTACCAGTTTTTCRTTTTTCATGAAATACTGTATTTATTTGGGGTTTAATATAACTTCTTTTTACCCTACTGGACAATGAAACAAGACAAAACTATTATCACAGAAAGGTGTCGCTACCATTTTTTTTTATTCCGCAGCAAAATACCTTCAGCATCAAAACTTTGGCTCATCTTACCTCATCATCTTTTGCTGCAAAGACCTTCAGAGCCTGGTTGCCCATGTAGTAATGCCTCTGGATCTACAGATTCAAAGAGACAAGAATTAGCCTGACCTAAAGAAAAGGTCACTGATGCAACTGAATCAATTAAATTAYAAAACAAATAACATTGCTCAAGTGAGAAGCCACCCAATTTAATGACAGTCCACAGAGGCTAAAGTCCTGTATATGTCTCATAGCTCCATTTATCACTTAATATGGCTATTCAGTCATATTAGGCAGGATATTCTCAYAGCTTCCTACTCACAAGCAGGAATGAATGACAGTGGTACTTGTATTGTTACCAATCTGAATTATACTTCAGCAATTCAAAAGTCAGTGCAAAAAACTACAGTAGTTAATAAAGGACCTAAATCTAACTGACATTACATCTACGCTATTAATTTTTTCTAGCAAAGATGCATCAAAAAGGAGCTGAAAAAAGTCACATCCTTTATAAGGCTCCTTCAACAGCAACCCAGCGTATATACAGCTGTGCTGGCAAAGAAGCACTTCTACTAACAGAGTTTATTCTGTTCATGAACATGGCTGAATCAAAACCAAACAAACAAAAAATTGTTTTATCAAGGGGCATCACTCAAATAGTTGGAGCTACAGAGGCTGACACACACACATAGCTGGCACAAAGATCACACACTACTATGGACACTGGTTAAAATAATCTCTCTTTGCTAAAGCAAAAACTCTTCAAATTACAGCCTCAAAACAAACTTCACTATATCTTTGATTTTTTAAAAAAATTAATTTCATATTTTTATTTTATCTTCTTKATTTAGCAAATTACCATAAGGCTGTTGAAGTCAGTGACAACCTGCACCAGAGCCTGCACTCATCTGCACCAGAGCAGATCTGTTTATTGTACTAGAGCACAATTCTTCGGCTCTGATTATTCCACCKGCAATCATTCTTTGCTGTTCTGTCTTTAAATGCTCAAGAAATTTTATGTTCAGTACAGTATAAATAACTAGATGCGCGTATCACTATACCTTCTTTTGTTTGGAAAAGAAATTGTCCCTTTGTAATGTTTTCAAGTATTATTTCTCRATTTACATCGCATGGCTTATAAATTAAAAATCAAAGTTTATGCAGCCTCTGATCTTCTTTCCTGAGGGATGTGAACAAGTCAGGAAAATAATATAAGGTGGTTCTATTCCTTATTTAATTATGTATTTGGAGCTGTTCCAGTTTTTCTAGTCAATAATGAATTATCTTTCCACCAAAGTTTTTAAAATAAATGACTTAATATAAAACATACGTTTGAATAGTGTCAGTTCAATTATTCCATACAATAAAATTTAGGAGGCAAAATTTAATATAATGCATGGGTTTGAAAATTCCAGCTGTAGTTAAAACCTTCCTGATATCATTATCTACACACTGCAATTTTAACCCTGCAAGCACACCTGAATAATTTTATTCCACTAAGGATATGTGCAGCTACTACTGGACATGACTACTCACACTCCTGGCCACAGAACAAGAGCACATTTTAAGATATAATTTCTACTTGTTATGAAATCCAAAAACAAGAGAAGTAATTCATAAAAATTAATCAAAAACAATCAATATTTAGTGAAAAATTTTAAAACCAATTTGTTATTTTTTATGCATATTTGTGACTCAAAAAATAYTCCTACCATTAACTGTAGGAATTACAGTTACAGTTATTAATTATATATTTGAAGRTATTACTACACTGCCTGATCAATGATGGGAAAATAAAAATTGATGTGAAATAACAGTTTGCTCACAGGAGCACAATACTCCTCATCTGTTTTCCTCTTAGTTTCTATTCTCAAATAGTCACACTTTAACTCAAAAGAGGAAGCAAACATCCTTCATAAGAAAAATCTGCACACAGTGAAATACATCCTACAGAACTACATGACAACAGTAAGATTCAGCTGGAGGCTAATAATGTATGAAGAGATCCAAGAAACTGTCTCATTGAAATATGGATTCAGACACATTTCACTTATTAGATCCGTTTCTGGTACAGGAGGTAGCACTCCCTAACACCTCTCTGGTCCTGGCCAATTCAGGGCACGTAAGCTCAAGCATGAGAAGTTTCCCTGATCAATCACTTGCAGTGCACAAGCTCCCATGTAACTCAACAACTAAGTACTGAAAGTCCTCAAGGAACAACCAAGTTACAGTTTCCAGCTAGACTGGCTTCTCATTTCAGTAAATCAACCTAACTTCTTGGCTCTTCAGTTTATACGTTGTGGAATACTGCAGCAGTAGTCTAATGACGTCTCTAGCAACATGCATGAGTTTCTATGCCACCTGTAATGTAAGAAGTTTAGTTACATTAATTCGGGAGTAAGCTCCCACAAATGCTTTCTACTTCATTARCATCTTTCCTTCATGGTAAAGGTAATGATTCCTTAGCCTGCATCAAGGGTTCTACTCAGTTCAGGAAGTGAGAGATTTCACAGAGCAGGAGGGCTGGAAGCTGTCAGAACAGAGTGTAGAACTGCTCCACGATTTCATTTCAGGTTTTACTGGTGAAGAGGACTGAGTGCGGGTAACTCCAAGATGAGCAAAGTTTCAGTCACCCTGTGCAATATCCTGGAGAAAACAAGATGGGGAGCACCCTAACATTCACACTGGGCACTCGCATCTCTGTACTCTCWCATGTATCCTGCTTCAAGAACAGTTTTGTTAAGCCTTTGCCTAAGGCTTTGCTAATGCTTAAGTCCTGGATTTCCTGCAGGAAACACCTTGTGCTGGGTAGCTTTTATTAAGGTACTTGCTTAAARTAAGTTTCCTACAACTGTCAGGGACAATGAATAGCTAAGTCAATACCACAAACAGAGATTAGTGCATTACAAAGATCAAGCATCTCATRGAAATACAGAGAGTTTTTGAATGATGCTACCTTTGTCTAAGTTCTAAGATGTCTTCACTACCTTTAGTTTTTGTCATAATAGAAACAAGAAGCCAATCATGGTTAACAAACTAATCCTTATGGAGAATGAATAGAGTCAGTTTTCAGGCTTGCTTTAACATCACCTCAGTGTTGAGAGAGAAGCTTCTATTAAGGAAGAGCCATACTCTTGGCTGGACAAAGCCCAGAAAGGCTGCTGTGTGAGCTGAACAAAAGACAGACATCTTCTGTTGCAGATCTAGCATCACTATCTAAATTTGTGAGATGAAATAAGACCACGATACCTCTCTTTTCACTTTGCAGAGACCTAAGTCCACTGGCTCTGGCTTCACTTGAGGGTCCAATGACCACATTTACAAGCTTTTCTCCTTCACAAGACTATATACAGCTTACACGTACTAGAATCAAGCAAGTAAGTCATCCCTGCATAACTGACTGCAGATGCTGCATTCCCAATTCTGAAACCCAATACAGCACCATGACTTTAGTGAATTCAAACAAAAATCAATTGTCTTGAGTAACCCAGGAAGTTGAATAGGAAGACATTTAGTATCGCACCTGAGAGGATCTAGTGAATCCCAAAACAGAAAAACACTTTCCTTCTGTTTTGTATTTCATATGCTCCTCATCTTCCTTGGAAAAAGGAATTATATCACTCCCATACCGAAAACCTGGAGAACAAGAGAAGAGCATCTGGTAAGCATATGGGCCTACAATTCTAACACCAAAATTAGCTCTCTGAATATTTTAACAATGCATTCGTGCCCCACAGCTACGTTCCACACATGCTCATCAAATTACTTTCCCTGTTAGCAAAAAAAATCACACACCCATAGACACATTTTGTACTTTGCGAACAGCAGTTGCATTCCTTGTACATCATTTTATGTAACATAAGTACCCTCAGAGAGCAGGAAAGAAAATAAGGGAACATCTTGCCCAACAAAGTTACGCTCACAGAATAGATTTAAGCAAATCAGAATAGATTTCAGCAAACAGATTGCAACATTCTCTGCAAACATAATACAAGCAACATCAAACATACCACAAATCATACCACAGGAGATGACACCAGACGAAATTCAGAGAATAAAATGTGCTAACAGTGGAAGCAAGGTACACAATGGAAAACCAAAACACTCTCGTATGCAGAACTGGTCTTTCTATATATTTCTGTGTTTTACTTCCTATGCCATACATTACAGGTGTATCTCCACAAAACAGGAAGCTGTAATTTCTCAGAGGTATCATCTGTTCCAACTGCTTATTCCCCTATCTCAGGCTCCAATATCCTCCCTGTAACATCATCACTTTATTATATTGCCACAGACTCAGGATGATATTCCTCAGGTGTGAAGAAAGCAGAAGGAACAGAGATAAATCCCTGGATGAAAAGCCTACAAGCAGATACATTTTCCCGAAAACTGAAAAGCAAACACACAGGCAGAAAGAATGAAAGAAAYTTCAGTATGGGTGCTGCAAACATAAAATATTGCCTAATTATGACATTTCTCAAAAGACTCACAAAAGTCCAGGAGGCATAATAGCTCTTCAAGCGTAAGAAATATCGCACAACTGACAGGGAAATCTTTTATCTCTTTTGTTCACGTTGAACAATGCTCACCACTTCTTTTCACTAGTATCCTACAACTACTTACTACCTTAAGCAGTCAGAAGATTAGCTGAGAATGGCCACAAATCCTTCAAAATGCATTCACTGTAAGAAGTGGTTTTTTYAACACATAGTTTTGAAGTTATAAAACATAACTAGACCATCTTTAAACCATCATTTCTGCTTAAAGAMGGTCMMATTGTTGTTAGGATTTTATATTATATTGCTATGAAACACCTTTGAATGCTAAAATTGAAACCAATTAAATAAAAAAATACAGTATCTTAATTTTCAATTTATGTTATTCATTTGACAGTACTCTATATACTGTTATCTGAATAGTTCCACTCTTTATGGTTAATATACTTGCCCTACTTTCGTGGGCTTGAAACAGCAAAGAAAAGGAAAAAAAAACTAGTAACAAAATATATCTATACAATCACAAAAAAATGAAAGAGATTTACTTAACTTCTATTAAATAACCCCTATTTCCTGCTGTTTCTGGGGCTTGAAGTCTTCCAAGGAAATTAATCTGCTCAGAAATAAGCTGGAGATCATAAAAGGTATTCTGCATTACCACTACTTCAGATTGATCCTGTTACAGTATAGCAAAGCTAGYATCTTGAACACTAAACCTTCCTTTGATGGCTTCATCTTTCCAGYTGCAGAATAACTAGAGCAGTTGCTCATCTACAAAAAAGCAGTGCTATGAAAGCATTCATGTTGTCAGTACAACTAAAGATCTAAGACCAGAATAGAGGTAGCAGCACTACTCATTACAGAACTGAGGTATGGCCCTCCAAAGAGTATAGTTCAGGAAGCTGCAGTGCCTTCCAAGTTCCATCTGGTATTATTATTATYGTTGTTGTCAGTCCTATTATTATTCCTATTTTCATTATTATYCCTATTATTATTATTCCTACTACAAAGGAAAGGGCAAAGTAAGATTTTTTTTTTAAGTATGTGAAGACAAAGAGTCTCGTGTAACAGTCTCTGTGTTCCATCAGCCTACAGCGCTTCCATTCTAAGAACAAAGGTAGGCTTCAAGGTAAAAAACTAAATGGCACTTAGGTCACGTWAGAATCCAAGCCATTATCTTCCCATTGTCTTCAGGGTGCACAGAAAGGACATACCTTGGATAGTATCATCTTTCTGAATCTCTGTTTCATCATCATCATTCAAGCAGTATACAGTTTCTTTTTGCACATCCTCTTTTTTGAGGGTTTTAGCATCCACAGTCATCCAAAGTTTTTTCACCCTCTCTTCTGTGACCTTGATATCAGAATTCAAAGAAAGGAATGTTTAACATTTCATGGGATCCAGAGTACTTACTAGAACACACAAAAAGTTCTTAGCCTGCTGCATTGTTTTGCCAATAAAGGACWAACAGTGACAAATAATGCATCTCTGGCTGCTACCACAGTGCTTTCAGCACACTGCTTCATCTGTAGGAGACCTAACATGAACTGCAGCATATTGACAGCATACTTATCTTGRGTATTCATTAAACCCGTAGGTTAAGTCATTTGTGCAAGTCTTTTAGTCACAGGACAYCATGTAACTTGCTGTTATGCAATTTACTACCTCCACCTATATAAATAATTTTGACAAAGCAATAAGAAATATGTTAAAGACATAGGAAGACTCAATGTCCATTCAGCTTGTTTGGCAGGTCTTCCATTGGGCCTACTATGCTACGGGATAAAAATATCTCGTTTTACTGCAACTTCCCCAAAAGGCAGAAAGATCCCAGTTGCATTATGGGACTGAGAAGGGAAAGAAGGAATAGGTAATTACAATGAAGGAATGTTTCCCAACTACAGGGAAATAAAACCACTTCCTTTTCTCTCTACTTAAGTGAAATAGATGGTATAGTTAGTACAGGAGAAGAAAAATGTAGAGCTGAGCAGAAAACACTAAAGACAGAATAGATTGTCAGTGGGACTGCTGTATGACCTCAGGCCAGTCATTCAGTTCATGCTGCTTACTCTCCCAAACTTAGTTTATTTTGTGTGTTAACACCTTCAGAAAGGGACTCTTTCTGCCTATTTGCACAGGTTTGGCACAACAGCATAATAAAAAAATTATTAATAACTATAAATAGAAATTTGAAGTTTTTCAAGGCTAATTTACCCATCTTTCAGAATTCAGATATATTTCAACTTCATAGTACCAGACTCAGTCTTGTGTTCAAATACCAATTAAAACCAATATATCAAACCAATTAATCTCCATTTCCCCAGATCCATCAATACTGCCACACTACATAGTTACTTATTAACTATTCTATAACTAGAAATTTGCATATTTTCTGTCTTTAAAWACACTTATTTCTTCCTAGCACTGATTAAAAGAACAATGTAAACCRTAAGGGAAACAGACTGGGTCCAAGCTCTGCCAAACAGTACAAACAAGCAGAAAAAATAGACCTTTCATTCCAAATTGAAATAACAACAGATGTGATTTGAAACAATGGCTGGTAAAACATTTACACCCATCATTTTACATACACATGTCCACAATTCCTCTCATGCCTAGGACTGAAGAAATACCTATCAGCATCTCATATATATTTGGTGTCACATCTCACTGACGCCAAATGTAAACCTTCAATCACAGCATTCTTTTATCAGGGTCATCAATCAACTTGAATACAATTAAATGCCAAAGAATAGATAGCAATTACTCCTATTTMTGTAAATTGTGAATTTTACTCATTTAACATGTGTACAATATGGTGAAGTTAAAGTTGCTGTGGGAWCCACAGTTTTAGATGTACTGGGTTCTAAGCAAATAAAAATCTCTATCTTAATTATTAGGATGTTGGTTTAYCTTTTAATTTCTTAGCTTTAAGGAGAAAAACCATACAGCAGCACCTATCTTGCTGCCACATTACACTAAAACATATGATTTTATGCACTTACTGATTTGTAGGCCACAATCCTTATGGACAAATCAGGACCAATAGTGAGCTGGCAGGGCCAAGGTATAGGTTTTCTTTCTATTTTCTTAAACATTGAAAGACGTTCCAGGCTCTCTCTAAATGAAAGAATCAGGAAACAGAAATGAACTCTGGTGAACTGTAATAAAGTATTATAGACAATACACTCTACTTAAGAAAATGCAGGAGCTTAGATTTCATAAAGCATTAGAAAACAAACTGTATCAATAATCTCATCATTAACTATTGTCAGAAAACAGAATGAAAAAAATGAGGTGGCACAGTAGATTTATCTCCATCTTGAGCCTTTATGATGGTGTGACATTAAGGCTTAAAGGCACTCTGTTAAGTCTTGTGACGAAACTACACAATTGTTTCTTAAGCATTTTACATTTATCTGTGCTCACCCAGTTAGGGCACGTAGCAAGCTGAACAACACAAATTAGAAAAGGCTCTCTAAGTAGTAAAATGTTTGCTACAGTAAAGCTGAAGAAATAAAGAATCCAGTTTCAATTAACAGGATTTTGTTTATGAAGAAATTAACTTTTGATACCTTTTTTATACAGTACTAATGAACTCATTATTTTAAGGGCATTATGTCAGAGTGAAAGAATTTATTTCAACTATTTCTAGCCTAAACAGCAGATATACAAGTTCAAAAAAAAACCACAAAAAAAGGAACTGTAATGAGTTTATACTAAAGAGTGTTAACTTAATTGCTCAGCATTAAGCAGTGGAGTCCAAAAATTAAAAAAATCACAGTAATTTATAATATATAGTTGTGAATTCGAATAGGCTTGYCCCCCAAACAGCTTTCAGCTAATAGAAACTCTTTTGGCTATTTGGCTGTAAAATTTCAACACAGAACAAGTTCTCCATTTTTTTTTTCTTTCACTGCATGATAAAGCAAAGATAAAACGATGCTGAACTCATCTTTTCCACATTATGATAAAACCTGGAATCTACTTCTCTCTTGATTAAAGCACTTGTCTGGTGCTTTTTTTTTCAGAMTTTCTGGTCTGAAATCAAGATCAACTCCTGAAAACATCAGCAGAGAATTCAACTTAGTGTTCTACTTTTCATATTTCTTTGTATAAGCAGGGTTGTTTTTTTAAAATCTAAAAGCACAATGAAAGGGGAAAATGCACTGGGATTTTTATATGAGATAAAAACTGGATTTCCTTTTTAATTTTTTTTCCTTAGGGAAAGAAAGGAAGGAATTTTTTTCCTAGCAATAATGACATCAATAGAGGATTTTTAAAAAGAATTTGCTACTACATCCTTGAAAATACTGCAACACATACATTCAAGGATGAGTATGAAAATCCAATGAATAAGTGCCAACTGTCTCACAATGTAATTTAAGCTCAATTTATCATCTCTATCTTTTAATATCTTGTATTTACAAAAGAAAAATGCAGCCTGTTCTCAAAGATGGCTCAGTCAATAAAATCATTGCAAATGTACATTTCAACTTGTATTTTAAGAACACATTATCTCTCTTCTGCTTTGCAACCCCTTCCCCCAAAACCCAGAGGTAGAAGTACCTCCCGTCTAATAATCTGAGCATCATAACTTTAAAAAACACGACGAAATCTACTCACTTTCCTGGCATGCCTAATTTGTTTTTACAAGAGTTGAAATATTTTTACCAGTAAGAATAATTAATCTAAGAAAACGGAGACTGTATCTGAGTTGGCCAATTATCATGACAGATTCGCAAAGCTGACTTCTTAAATCTTGATAAGCAACTTAACTGCATCCAAAACCTCACATATTCTTAAACAACTTTTCCAACTAAAGCTTTAGTCTGCTAGCCAAATGCCTATTTATCCAGAGATTTTGGATTTCCCCTGAAAGTATGGCACAAAGACAGCTTGTAGAGTAGCAAGAGTCTGTGATAAAAAAAGTGTGAAGAGGCCATGCCACATGGCAGGTTCATGCATATGGATTATCCTAAAGGATAAATGGGCCAGGAAAGATACTGCTTTTCTGTGCAGTCTTTTGATGCAGTGACAAAGCCTGCTTTTTTCCAGAGACTCAGACTGCTCTGTTGACTAGTACAGAACACAGACACACTGACACGTGTCTCTTCACTAATGCACCGTAATGCTCAAGGAGCAGCTTCACCAGCTGCAGAGGTGCAAAGCTGACCAGCTGAGCTGGGCAAGGGAAGGAAATTCCTCAAACAAATTGATGAATTACAGAATACCAACCTACAGGGACCACCCTCATCTAATTACAGAATACCAACCTACAGGGACCACCCTCATCTAAAAATTACATTTGATAACCACATTACAGCTATGGTCTACTAAGTTTCCTGAAAACCACATTGTCTAAAAGATCACACTTCATAATTGTAGAACAGAACAACTGAGACAGTAACATCAAACTTTCATAAGGCACACAGATGCATTTTGCCTGTTTCCCAACTGAGACACCACCTATGTGGAAAAGTCTTGGATACATCATTAGCTACAGTTTTTCAGAGATTCACATAAACTTTTATTCTTTCATTGAGGAAATAAGAAATGAAAAATCACCTTCCAATTCTTGCATTAGGAATGCTCCTGAAAAAGTATATTGTTTGTCACAGTGGCAGAGTAGACTGTGATTAAAGAGGAGGATTCAACAAACATCATTTACTCTAAACATTTGTGGGAGTTTTTCAAACCCGTGAGCTAAAAGAAGTCTGTGATCAAGGAACAAAGGCTACCATTAAATGCAAATGTTCAAGCAGCACTATGTCACAATTTCCATCTCCTCCCAAAACATATTTTTGACATGACACTTAGAGAAATGTTCCCTCCAAAATCCTCCAACACTAAAGATGGAAGAAAACTTATKTTTTCTTTAAATACAGATATAGAAGATTCATTTTCCCTTGAAATCTGTAAGCTCTTCTACTCATTCTAAAGCCACTGAAAAAGCTGTATGAAAGGGACTGAATTTACTGTAAGTTAAAAAATTCACTGACTTCAAAGAAAATGTGACATGACTGGTTACTTAACTTCAYCTTTTGGAGAAAAAATCAGATAGTAAATATAGTACAATAAACAGGATTCATCAGATTTACCTGAAGGTATAAATTTCTTCCAGCCCTCCTTCTTCATCCAAAGCATACATGACTTTCCTCACCACATCAATACCTCGCTTCTGTTGTTCAGTCAAACCCTTGCTTGGAGAAGAGTTTCTGTGCATATGAGCATGTACACTGGCACTTRTATCTCTACTTCCATCATCAACACCCACTGGAAATGGCAAACTAAAAACACAAGCAGAAGCAGTTAGTTTGACTTTCTTCCTTATTAAAATAACCAATCAAAACAAAAAATTGTTCTCAGGATCAACGATTTCTATCTAGCTGCAGTCAGCTTTCAGTTAGAAAGRGCCACAAGGCTTGCAAAACAAATTAAGCTGCATTTCAAGTCTACTTGGCATTGGTAATGTCTTGACCAGAGTGATGCACCAGTTCTGGGTATCATGCATCAATAAAGACATCCACGTACAGGAATAGATTAGTCAGCAAAGTCAATGCTGATTAGAAAGCAAGATCCATTAAAAAAGATTGAACAAAATAAAGCCCATACAGAAGGGAATTAAATGACAAGACAGCCTTAAATACAAAAAGCTGTTGCAGAGAGCAAGGAAACAATCAGTTCTTTGTATTCTGCCTGCACTCCAATCACATCATGGAGTCAGGTCAGATAGTCAAAAAGCTGATAAAGGCATCTCAAACCATAATCTCTAAAACCAACTGCCCGAGGAGAAAGAAGAGTCTCCATCACTGCAAATCTTTATTGGAAGATTAGACAAACATTGCTCAACAATGACTGACATACACCTGACCCAGTCTGAAGCAGAGGATTTCTCCAGATGATTATTAAAGGCCATTCCAGGCCTGTGACTCTGTATCAGCTCCAAATGCCAGCAAGCAGGACATTCTCTGCAGTGGGGCTTTTAGGTATTTCTGGAACAAATGTTATTCTTTGAGATTTTAATAGCTTACAACACTAGGTGAATTTTGACTGAAGATGACACATTTTTCTGCACTTCATGAATCAGATCGAAAAATTTAGCCAGGGGTTATAGAKGAAATGATTTTGCTGCTCTTCAAAATATAGGAGAGAGTTAACTAAGTATAATAAACACAGTAGAGAAAGTGTAAGATCCTCTTACCCAGTGCCACTCAAAACACCTGCAGATCTTTTATCTGATCCAATTTTGAATGAACCACATGATACCTTTTACCACATTTCAACAAAGTGAAATAACTTTAGCATTGTATTATGTTTTTTAAAAAGCAGCCTACAGATCTCTACCACACTTTCACCTCATTAGTCCTCAATAAATTTATCCATGAAGCAACACATAATAAGCAGAGTTAACATTATGCACGACAATGTCACATACAGCAAAATTAAAGATCAAGATTCAGCTAAGTGTTTGGTACCTTTTTAGAAAGCAGATTCCACTGACAAAATAAAATTTGTATTTTAAAGCTGATATGACAACAACAAAATGCTTCAAACCTCTGATAGACAAGTTAGGCTACTTTCACTATACAATGCCCAGAAATTGCTGTGATGAGAAGCACGTAACACCCAACACTACACAGTGCTCAGTGTATGCTTGGCACCTGGAAACAGGGAGGAAAACCAACTATCTGCTGTAAGTTACAACCTAGTCTATAAACAGGGCACAAGAGACAAAAGTATGGATTGTAACAAAAGGACAAGGTTTACCAAGAAAATATTTTTAAACAAGCATTTTACATTTGTACATGCAAAATTCAAATAATGCTTTGCTCATGTGGCTGGGAGACAGGGTGCAAACMTGCAGCCAATGCTGTAACAGCAACATTTCTTTTGTGCTTGGTAGACAAGGAAGCAGCAGATACTAAATACCAGAGCTCCAAAAGATGTACTCTGACTGGCAGAGATAGTCAGATTCATGGCRCTGCACCTCCACTGCCAACAACAGCTCAAATAAGCCAGGAGGGRCATGTCACATTGGAAGCATAACTGCTTTTGCTGTGTAGACAGAACCTGACATTTTTGCATTCAGCCTTCCCTATGCCAAAGCAAAGCGAAGATTTTTCTGTGGAGGATCAGTTCATGATTTTCAGTCACGTTTTCCTACCTAACCCCTCTGTTATCTTACAGATGGGTTGGCAAATGGCTTAAATGAATTTATTATTAAGMTCACAACATTGTTCCTTATAGAATGCTGTATCTAGATAAAAGAAAATGGTCAGATGTAAAACTAGAGCTTTAACTTTCTCCTGTGAAAGTATTTCTTGTAATCAGCAACGTACAAAGTTTTGCTTTTCAAAAAACTCCTCTAGAAGGCTCACAGCTTCCAGTCGCCATCCCACGCAACAGCTAATACAGACATTACCACCAGCATTGATTCTTCAGATCAATGCCTGTATCTACAGCATGACAATCAAGGGATTCCTTTTCTAACACTTAAGACATTGTTTCCATTTTCCAAGCCCATCAYTGTGAATACAACTCTTCTCTTCAGACCTGCTCTTCTATTGACACCAGAATCAAGCTATTAATACCTGCAACACTACTTCATTATTTCCTCCCAGTAACCTCCTTATCTAAAAGGATCTAGGCTGTTGCTGTGACAAACCCACTGTTACTGAGGCTATTTTTGGCTTACTGTTCCCTAATTCCCTGCTTATATTGTTCTTTCATCTCCCGTTTCAGATTTTGGCTCTAAGCTTAAGTGCAGAAGAAGCCATCACTTTAACATTTTTTTGCACATCACTTAATCAAGGGGACTTGGTTCATAACTGGAATTTGTGGTATGCATAACTGATAGAAGTACTWAAAATAATCGTATTACTTACTGGCACATCTCTAAAGAAACCATAGACCAACAGAGCACCAGCTATTTCAAGGTAATTATTAAGAAAGAATAATTTCTCATTAAAAAATGGCATAGTGTATAACAGCCATTTTCATACTTACAAAAACTGAAGTGAAATTCCTGTTTTCTTCAACTTAGCAATGATAATTTCCAGCTGATCATCACTGAAAGGACTACTAAGGTCTGTAAACAGTTCAATGTGTCTCTTCTCATATTTCTTTCCTCTTAAAAGCGAAAAAAACATTCATATATATTGAAAACGTTTTAAGGCCATTTTTAATTAATTCCTTACAAAACAATAACAAAAGTCATATATTTGTATTTACTTTTATCAAAGAAATACACCTGTAAAATGAAAGAAAACAAATAAACCTACCTGGTAGAAGTAGAATCATAGGTTATACTATTTATTCTAAGTGTTTAWATGAATACCCCTACTCCCTCTTACCCTAAAATTGAGGACTGAAGCCCTCTGACTTTATAAATCACTACATCTACATGAATGGAATTCTGACAATTTTCACCAATGTGGATAAAATGCTAATAAAATATGTTAGGCTGTTTATGGATTACACTGGTTATTTCCTTTGCAGCTCTAAGTCTGTTCTTGTGAAAATGTATTTTAAATTACTGTTGCTGGTGGGGGTTCTATTTCAGTAATTTAATTCAGTAGATTCATTGAATAAGATGGACTTTCAAGACTACTTAATATGCTAAGAAACAGTAACAATACAGATCGGGAAAGCTGGCCAATCACAGAACAAAATTCAGTTGAATTGGTACAGTTTTGATCTGGATAATCAAGCATAACAGTGACTTCCTTGAATTTTTACCCTACAGTATTTTCTCAAAYGAAGGCAAACTCCATATCAAAGGGGTTGGTGTATACAGGCAACAACAAAAYCAGTTGCTCCATAGCTATTCAATGCCATAAATACAGTAATTTTTATTCAAAACTCAGTCTTAACCACTGAGACAGATTTGCACACTGATTAGACCTCATTCATAAAAATACAAATTTCATCACCGTGTCTAGTCTTCTGAACTCACAATTAGATCATACAACCTTTTTAGAAACATGTTCAAGCTTTGGTTTGAGAGGAAGTGCCATTACCTTTCCCTGCATCATKAGTTCACTGAGCGTTAGAAACTCCTTGCCAGCCTAAGGACATYCACTGTCAACATTGTAACACGGATGTCAGTAATTTTTTTCAGCTTAAACAGTGTTTTCTTCCTACTGCACCTCTATTTCCCACAGTCTGCATATTTACGAACAGCAAACTCATTGCCAACAGTCTTTAAATCTCTAGGCTGAACAAATTCACCTYTTTAGTTTTGTTTTCTTTTCTTCTTTCTAAAATATATCATCACATTTAAATTTAGTAGCCCTTTTCTGAGCGTTTTTACATCCAGATTAACACTTTTTGAAAACAGATCACAAGGAATGTGACAAAGTAAAGCCTTTGTGCCTTCTATAATGGCTTTAATACCCTCATGGCTCTCCTACAAAGTTGCCAGTTGCCTCRGAAAGCTCTCCCGTTGTCTGGACAAGTCAGATGTCTCATGAGGATTCTTCAGAGACAAACTTGTGTAGTGTGCTGTTTATCTTTTGATATTTATTTACTTATCTTTTTGTTTGTTTTTTTTAAGAAAGCACTTTCCATGTTTAAACATACTGGAAATAGAAGACTGACAAGAAATAATATCCCTTCAAAGTCTGAATTCTGTAAAAGTCTTAGGGTTACATACTCACATTGTTTCCCTTTGAAGCAAGTCCATACACACAATAATTGCATCCAAAACTAAGCAAAATTAAGAAAAATCTCAGAAYATGATTCATGAAACAATCTTAAGATTTCACTCCCTCTCAAAGACTGAAAAACACACATTTTAGTTAGGAAACACTCTTTTGAAATAAACATTTTCAAGTAACTACTGTGCAAGAGGCTCCTATATCACTTGTCKGTACTGTGATCTTGTCTCTGCCCCACTTACCCACCAGAACACTAAAAAGACCACTTCAGATCCCAGTCTCTTAATGCCAATGAGAGGCTCAAGTCCAGTGAAGGGACAATCTAACCTTTCAAATGTTTCTTTGAATTCATCAATAAAATTTACTTGTACTTGCAATACATGGCATCATTTTCTCATGCAAGTTTTTCTTCTAAACACCTGCATCTGACAACCTCTTTGTTTCCTCCTCATCACAATGCCCACTGGGAATGTGTGATTCAGGTGACTGGCTGCACATGTCTCTGAAACAGCTCTGACTGCCTRGACAGAGCTCACAGCAATCATTTTATGGCCCGAGAGAGACAACACAGGAAACTGAACTGTAGGTAAGTGAAACACATGAAGAAATACTACAGAGATCACTTTCTCTTAAAACTCTTTAACCTTATACACAACTAAGAGCAGAATATATTCAAACAAGGATGTCAGTCTGACAAGGAAGTGATACTTGGCAATGTCAGAAATACTTTGTATGTAAATCAAKCTGATAAACCTCTATTCTGCTTTGTCTGGGGTAGAGCTAGTTGTCTTCACAGTAGCTGGCATGGGGCTGTGTCTTGGATTTGTGATGGTAGCAGGGATGATAACTAGGGATGACATAGCTGTTGGTGAACAGTGCTTGCATAGARTCAAGGCCTTTTCTGGTTCCTGTACCACCCTGTCASTAAGGAGGGTGGAGCACAGGAAGCTGGGAGSAGACACAGCAGGGACAGCTGACCCCAACTGACCAAAAGGATATCCCACACCACCTAGCACCACACTCAACACGTAAAGCTGGGAGAAAGAAGGAGGAAGGGGGATATTCAGAGTTCTGGTATTTGTCTCCCCAGGTAACTGTTAAGGCTGATGGAGCCCTGCTTTCCTGGAGATGAACAAACACCTGCCTGCCTATGGGAAGCAGTGAATTAATTCCTTGTTTTGGCTTGCTTGTGTGCATGGCTTTTAACTTCCCTATTAACCTGTCTTTATCTCAACCCACAAGTTTTCTTTCTTTTACCCTTTCAGTTGTCTACCCATCCCACTGGTGGGCGAATGAGCAAGTGGCAGTATGGGGCTGAGTAACCAGCTGGGTTTAAACCATGACAGTCTGGTTTTTGGTATTTCTGCTGACTTATTTCCTAAACAGTACTTTTATTTTATTAAAAAGCCTAAAGCAAGTTCTGTGCTTTTTTTAAAAACACATGCCTTATTTGAGACCTAAAATTACATTATTATTTTTGTTCTCTTTAATTAACAGAACACTTCATAAAAGCAATAATTCTCTAAGGTCAAGACTACATCTGCTAGCCTAAAAGAAACTCAAAAAGCAGCTAAATATGCTTTTGGACAAACTTGCAAMCACAAATTAGTTCAACTCTAATGTAGTTAAAACTTGGGAGGCTAAGCCCATTTCACACACTGACTTCCTGTCTCCTACATAGCTGAATCAGTTCAAGAAGCACTCTGCAGCAAAAGGATACAGTCTGCTTGTTCAGAGCCTGCTTTAATCCTATCTTGAATGTCTTCCAGCAGCTCAAAATCTGGCAGCATTAGTGACCTATGTACAGTAATGTTTTGGTATTGATCCCCACTGGCAAGGCCGTTCCTAGTGCCATTAGTGCCAAACAAAACTACAGCAACTTCATCTTTACTCTCAGCAAAAACCTGCAGACACAGAGAACACAAAACAGGTATAAAAACACAGGTAGATTCATAAACAACTGTGGTAGGCAAATTCCAKCAAGCTGAGCTCATTCTGAAACATCAATTACAATGGATTTCCATWTTTTATTTATTCAGTGCTATCCTCTCAAAGTGTACTCTTACAGAGAATTCACTAAGTTAGACATAATTAAACAAACAAATTAACATGAGGATATGGGATAAAACAAACAAAATTGGTTGATTCAGTCCTCAAAATTAATCTTCTGTGTGGTAATTATAAGAATGTTGAAACATTTTAGAGAAAAAGTACTTATTTTCCCTAAAATTTTCTTCTGCTCTGAAGAAAAAGTGACCAACCCAAGTGTCACATCTCATGCCCAAAAAACACCTGAAACAAAGAGCACTGTCACTCCTGCATAGCCAGACTAATTCTCACTCATTTCCCATTTATTTAAATTATTTCTAAATGAAGAAAATATTTCACAGATGTTATTGTTTCATCYCTCTCTCTCTTTTTAACAGKTTTTTTAACACCTATGGAATTACAMATACCTGTCGCTGCACAAACTTTGTCATAATCTTCTTAGCTTGGTCAAGTGAAGACTCTTCACCAGGGAAAGAACTGCTCATTGTAAAGCCCACATCCAGGCACAGCACTGTTGCCACCTAGAAGGGAAAGGATTAAGAATTAAAAATAAAATATAAACATCATGACTTAAAAGGGAAAAAGGGTACATACAAAACCTAAAAAACAAACTACACTACAATTTGTTTCTTTTGCAGTAATTGTCAGTAAGAGACAATGGTGGATGACAGAACTGGTGGTATAACTGCAATGAATGGAAAACCATTTAACCCTSTACATGTTCCAGACATTTCAGTGGAGATCCAAAAAAATCCTTTCACATATAATCATTAAAGGGGGAGCAATTTCTATACAATCCCATGAATGTATTAGGGATCTAAGGGCTGTTCTGCACTAGGAAATTAAACAGATATTTTAGGTGACAATTGCAAGGATGAATTCCAATTTCAATTTAGGGGCTTAAATCCCACAAGGTAGCCTATGTTTTTGCATTTTTGATCATCACTTTAACTGATCTATACAAAATACTGCCCAAATCTGTATATATTGATACACTAGAATTAAATCARATTGCTTCTTGCAAATTCTCATTTGACTCTAAAGTTCTTCACAGACTCTGTTCGTCACTCTGCCTTCATCAGTGGCTTTCCTGGGAGCTGGGAATGAATGCCTCTAAGTTAGCTAGGTCTGCAGAAGCTTAGAGTGGAACAGAGGCAGTTACTGAGGCTGCACTGCATTCTCTCATGAGCCTTGTCAGTGCTCACCTCCAGCCAGAGGAATTACTTCACCTGCAGACCCTTCTCGCCTTGGTGCTGTCCTGCCTCAAAACACACAATGGCTGGCAGCMAAATCCATCCTGTTTTCCAAAACAGGTAAAATTCTCTTCACAGCTGGCAGGGTGACAGCAGAGAAACCAAAGAAGGGCAGGAGTGAAGAGGTGCTGTTTTGCTTATGAAACACACGATGAAGCGTCAAACGCCAACACACTCTTCTGAACGGCAGCAAACACAAGCTCGGTGCCCGTTCAGGGATGTGGAACCCTCCTTCAGGAAGAGGGCAGGTTCCTCTTTTGATAACCCTCCTCTGTGTGTCGCTTCATCCGTTGTTACRCTCTGGGCTCCCCAGCCGAGCACCCAGCGCTGCTCTGTCAGTGCAGGGCCCGAAGCGACRCTTTCCCGATGCTCTGCACAGGGACCGCAGGACAGCACTGTCACACCTGAGCTAAACCAACCTGCTCTGCTTAATGCTGATAAGGCCGATATGGAACAGGCCTGCCTTTATCTSTGACCTCTCGGTGCTGAAGTAGCTATAATAAAGCAGAGGCAGAGAAAGCTACAGCTGCACAAAGCTATGTTTAACAGATACTAAACCGCGCTGTACCACAAGAGACCTTAACGCAGCTTTAACCAACAAGATTCCTTATGCACCACACACACAAACCGCATTTTCAACAGAGTAAAACCAGTTCTACCATTGTYTTAGCAAGAGCAATAGCAATTACTRCTGCAGGAGCTGCACTGTGCTCCAAAGCAGGAAACTGACTCCCTTTGAGCTAGTCAGCTCTGTACGGACAGCGGCTCGGCGGCTAGCATGGGGAGGAGTTACCCGGTGTCAGGGATGGGTGCAGGGGGTGCCCGGAAGCGGCGGGACCCCGACAGGACCCCGAGAGCACCCCGGGACCCCCCGCCCTCACCTTGCCGCCGGGCGCCATCGCGCTCGTGCCGGGACGCGGTGCGCCGCGCTCAGCGCTCCGGCCCGCGCCGGGCCCCGCGTCCCCCCGGGAACACAGCGGCGGCGCCTCGCGTTCCGCGGCGGGGGCAGCGCCACCTAGCGGCGGGCTCGGGCTCGGGCGGGGCTCGGTGCCGGGGCGGGCTCAGACGAGGGCGCAGGCGGGGCTCGGGCGCGGCCGTTCCCGGCTCTGCTCCGGTCCGGGCCCTGACCCAGCCCCGTCACRGCCTCCGGTTGGGCCGGAGCTGATTCGGGACGGGCTGCAGGGGGAAACTGGGCTGGGTGCGGCCGGGCTATGGGAGAGGCAGGGTAGATGCGGATGCCCCCGGCATCTTTCTCCTCAGGTCTCCCCTCAGCCTCCCCTCAAAGCGCCACATCTCGCAGGAGTGGCTGTGGTTGTCATTTTGACCATAGTGTGAGCCGAGCGTAGCCAAAGACAAGSCCGGGGTGGGTGGACTGGGGTCTCTGAGGAGAGGGGGTGGCAGGGCGAGTGTCAGAGGCTCTGCCCTGTCCTGTCCTAGGGCACCTCCCGGTCCTCCCATCGTGATGGAACCGCAGCCATCAGCCCAGCCCCACACAGCTGCTCACCTGTCCYCCACCWGCGGGACTGGGGAGAGAATCTGAAGGGTAARAGCTGGAAAACCCGKGGGTTGAGATAAAGGTAGTTTAATAAGAAAAGCAAGAGTCAYGCACACAAGCAAAGCAAASCAAGGCATTCATTCACTGCTGCCTCAGGGCAGGCAGGCGTTCAGCCATCTCCAGGAGRGCAGGGCTTCATCACAACTAATGGTGACTTGGGAAGACAAACTCCATCACTGCAAATATCCCTCCTTCTTCTCTCCACTTTACATACTGGGATGTTATGTGGTTTGGAATATCCCTTTGGTCAGCTGGGATCACCTATCCCAGCTGTGTCACCCCCAACTCCCTTGCCAACACATGGCCATATGAAAAGCAGAAAAGGCCTTGCCCCTGTAAGCCTTGCTCAGCAATAACAAAAACATCTCCATATTGYTGTGTGTTCAGCACAAACCCAAAACACAGCCCCATACCAACTGCTATCAAGAAAATTACCTACCCCAGCCAAACCCAGCACASCCCCCCAGAGGGCCTGTCCTCTTCATGGCACCGCAGAGTCCCACCGGACACAGCCTGCTGGGCAGCAGCCATTCCCCTTCACCACTAGGACAGGGATTTGGGCTGTCTGGAGCATCTCCTAAGTTGCATTCTGCCTGTGMATCACCAGTGGGTCAGGATTGTTTCATTAAACACTGGCAACACCCCTAACTGTCCCCACCATTAACAGCAGAGAGAATTTCTGAACCACACTACATCCAAGCTGTTGGATCAAACTGGAACCTGCTGCTTTTAAAAAGTCCCAAGTATAATAGATGCTGTATCCCATATATCTTGATGCCTATTTAATATTAAATCATCAGAGCTTTATGAGAATTGAAAGTATTTCATCACATGTATAGAGTACATCTTGTTCTGCATTACCTTCCATGTATCTTTTGAGGATATCATTACCAGTGTTCTTTCACTTTTAGGCATATCTCAAAACCCACATATTATCTATAATTATTCTCAAAACAGAGCTYGAAGTGGTGATACTAGTATAATACAAAAGAGTAAATCTCACATGAACACTTCAAAAATCTTGTACCAGAAGACCAACCCTACAAACACAAGTGTTTCATTTTTTTATTGAGTGATGTCTGAAGAAAAAAAACCCTTTCCCTCCTTACTACATTGCCATGCTTTGGGAGTACTGATAGTTGAGGGATTCTCTCTTCAAAGCACTTTGCATATAAAAGGAACAGAGCATCTTGGCAATGCGACAAACATTTTAGGAGAAACCGGTAGACAAAAAACCCCAGTCAGCTACTGCCAGAGAAAATCTTGCATTGTCTTCCTGAATGTCTCTAAGGAGATTTCAGWTTAATCAGACAAGGAAATCAGGCTGCTTATGATTATTATTATTATTCCTGATGTTATCTTAGTCCGAAAGTACTCCCTCTGGCTCACAACCAGGCAAGCCCCACTCCAGCTGATTTCCAACATAGCTTGCATTCTAGGCACAAGACAGGAGATGCGCACACACACGTGGGAAGAACAGAGAAACCAGAACTCATAAAATTCCTCARCAATAGCCTTTCACAGACCAGCAGAAAAGCATTTTCCAAGGCATCATGGTCAATGAACATTTTATTTTTGTGCTGGGGCTGGAAAGTAAAACCCCAGCACTGATTGCTGGAACAGAATATTGACATAAACTACTTCTCTCTGAATGCTAGATTTGACATGAAAGTTGAATCCCAGGCTTTAGTCCAAGCTCTTGCAGCTAGAGCCACAATTGCAAACATAACTCAGGGAAACCCAATTTGGGCCAGAACTGGGAACCTCTGATTGCAGGAGATTTGTATGCCCAGCCCAGGCACCAGCACCCCCTTTCCTTACATAGTCTGAGTAAAACTAAAGACACCTATAACCATGAAACTCCATCTGTRATAGTCCTATCCTTTAGCTCTCAATCTGACATAAACGAGTGCTTTTARCTCCCTGGCAAAATGTACAAACAATAAATCCAAACATTTCCCCTTCTTACCTTCATGGTGCCAGATTTCCTCAGAGCTGTTTCCACCATTAAAAGGAAAACTAGCTAATCATTCCTGAAACAAACSTTAATCCACATTTCCTTTTTCCTTTACAAATCTGAACAGAGCTCCCTTATAAGCAATTATCTAATCTGACTAATCAGCTCCATCTGGGGGCACTGGGGCTTTGTTAGCCTGGATGAAGATTTGAGGAGCTTTGCTTGTAAAAGCTTGCCAAAAATGTCTGTGATTAACTATCCATTTCTATTTTATAGAATGTCAGTCTCTGGGTATAAATAATAAACATGTGACATCTTGAAGGACTGAGGATCCAGGGTGATCAGCTGTTATCTCATTCACAAAAAAAAAGTGAGTCCCACCTTAGTGTCAGTGAGGTTCTCACTCGTTGCTCTGCTCATTCCTTTTTTTCGGTAATCCTCAATCTCCCCCAAACCATGCCTGGATAAAGTAACACACTCTTGGGAAGTAGCAATGAAGGGCYTGCCTTGTGCTTAACTTCACTCAATGCCTTTACAAGGCAGCAAGGCAAATGGCTTCCCTGGGTGTTTTTTTCACAAGAAGGAATGCATTATCCAGAGAGTTATAGCTGAGACCCAGCTGCTTATGGCATCTCTGAGCAAATGTAAATGGCTTCAATGTAAAAGAAGCAAGATGACTTGGCCTTTCTCCCTCTTTTTACCCACAGGGTAAAACTTTGGATAAATGCCTGGTGGARAGATGAATACCATAGCCATCTGGGATCTAGCCCAATAGTTTTATTGAAATAGATACATGAAGAAGAACTTTCTACAGAAGAATAGCATTAACTTTGCAATCATTACCTATTCTTTGCCTGGGTTGATACATAAAAGTGGGCACTAACTGTGAAGTGATGAATTATGAACTGAATTTTCTACAGACATAAACAAAGCAAGGCAAAGACACTGTGACACCAATCAGCTTTGTATTTCCACCAGTACAAGCTTGGCAACAAGCTGGAAGACAAAGTAGATGGGAAATTGGCACCCAAAACAAAGCAGAACTTGGAAGCAACATCTGTTAGCATCCTCCTACGTTGGGCTTTGTGAGGTACGTAGATGTTTTATTCCAARAGGTCTTTCCAAACACCTGCTTGAAAGCACATGCCAAAACTGTGGTGCAGACTAACACTAGTATTTATTATATCYTTTTAGTGATCTCTGATGGCCCTTCCCAAGGGATGCAAGCCTTACTCAGTCTTTGCTTAGATGCCTATGTGGAATCTGCCTGCAGGGAAAAGATCTCAAAGACCCACTCTCTAAAGCAAAACTGGTCTTTGGCTTTGAGGTTCAGCTGTAAGTCCATAGGGCTTGTCCTCTGTAGGACTCATAAACACTTGGCACATCACAAAACCTTGCCTTTAATAAACTTAAAAACAACTTTTTAAAAAATTCTTTGGGAGATTTAACAGTTTTCATCTGTTGGTCTACCTGCTCTGTCCATTTTCAGTTTAGTTCATGCAATGCAAAGAAATGAGCTTCTTAGGGAACTAAGAAATCACTGCAGCAGGAAAATTAGAAGGCAAAATAGGAAGGATAATACCACACCATCCAACTTTGCCTGAAAACACAAAAAAAAAAACACAGGAAGGAAAGGTAATGAGTTGGGAGAGAATATTGACTCAGGGTGTGTCCTACCAGGCACATTCCAGCTCAGGGGCTCCAGAATGGTGGCAAAAGGGCGGACCACATCTTATAAACTACAAAGCAGCACACCCAGAACTCCTAATCCCATACCACTGCAGAGGAGAAACGGCTCCTCAAATCCTTCTGCATGGAGCTAAGACACAGACACTCCACGTTTGCTGTTCCTCTTCCAAAAGACCATCACGGTTGCTTTTCATCCTCACTGGCCCCCACGCCAACTTCTGAATTTCCAGTTTCCTCTTCCCTGTCCCTTTCCCTTCTCCAGATTATGCAGTGATGACAGATTTCTCAGGCAGAAAAAATACTGGCTCTCACACACAAGTAAAGGCCTTATCAAGTGTCACAGAGAGGGAAAGAATGAAATCACAGGCCAACTGTGTTTACAGCCCCTTTTCCCCCATGCAGTATTTACCTTCTTCACACTGTCAYGGAGTCACACGCCATGAGAATCACACTCTTCTGCAGCCTACATGTATTGTCCTGCAGAATTGCTGCCCATCCAGTAGTTCTTCCAGCTGCTGTTTGTTATTCTTGATAAGATGAATGACACATTTGTCTAACAAGTTGAATCCTAGTTTMTTTCCTCTTTTTATTTATGAAATTTGTAATGGTAAATTTTTTTTAGTTCCAGTCTTCTCAGCCATTGTGCTTACCATCCCCCTCATTTTGGTGACCTTTACAGATTTCATAAGTGACATTTTTTCTTCAGCCAGGTCACGAAAGGACAGTGCTCAGCCTTAGATGGCCAGTCCTGGTATAAACACTAGACTTAGCTCTA